GGAACTGGCCTCCCACGCTTCCTCCAGCCTCCACTGGGACACCGGCCCTAAAAAAGCTCCTTGTGGTTGCAGGATGACGAGACGGGCTGGCAGTTAATGACCGACTGCGCCGGCCCTGTGTTTTGACTGCTAAATTTATTCCGTTCACACACTTCCCGCCATGACACACACACACAAACAACTACGGCGTCGCCCACACCACGCACCGGACCCCATCCCGGGGTTGGCATCCTCTTCATGTGTGCACTTACGAGTGGCACTTGCCTGGCACCGTGGGGCAGATGCTGGGGCACGTGGGACCATTCCCCTGACGGGACTCAGCCTTCACCCTCACCGCAGGGCAGGAGAACAAAACGCTGTGGTGGAAGGAGAGGATATGCCTGTTTTCATAGAATCATAGCATGGTTTGGGTTGGAAGGGACCTCAAAGATCATCTAGTTCCAAACCCCCTGCCGTGGGCAGGGACACCCTCCACTACACCAGGTTGCTCAAAGCCTCATCCAACCTGGCCTTGAACACTTCCAGGGATGGGGCAGTCACAACTTCTCTGGGCAACCTGTTCCAGTGCCTCACCACCCCCTGAGTGAAAAATTTCTTCCTTATATCTAATCTAAATCTCCCCTTTCAGTTTGAAGCCATTGCCCCTTCTCTTATCACTACATGCCCTTGTAAAAAGTCCCTCTCCATGTAAAAAGTCCCTCTCCAACTTTCATGCCCACACACGCGCTTGTGCAAGGGAGAAAGGCAATACTAACCGGAGGTGCGCAGGGAGGATCCCACCCCCTGCGTGGAGGGAGTGTAGCACCCCCAGCGCTTCTTCCAGCTGCTGGCCAGGGGACGAGACTTCTGCTCTGGAAAACATGGGCAACACCAGGTGCACATGCGTATGGGCATGTACATGCATGAGCACGTATGCAATTACACATATGAATACATATACACCCGGCTTTTCCCTCTGCCCCAGCCCGGGCAGAAGGAAGGCGACTTCCTTGCCCATATTTGGCTGTTGCTAAACCCTCCGTGCCCGCAACACCCCCTCTCTGCTAATAAAAACATGCCACAAGTGCAAATAGGTTGCTTTGCAGCAGGCAATGTGCCTCTGCTCTGCAAGCCGGGCTCTCCCCACAGCCACGCCAAGAATGATGGGCACGGCCGCAGGGCAAGGGGGCCTGGAGGAAGGCGCCTACGGGTGTTTTACTTGGGGGCGAAGTGCAAACGACGGCGTTGATGCTCTGCACGTCCTCTTCAGGCGGAAAGAAGCATTTCTGCTGCCCTGGGTAGAAGAAAGAGGCCTTCAGACAGCAGAACCCTGCTCCAGGAAGCTGCTGTGGCAGGGGAAGCCCATGGAACGTGGCTCATCTCCAGCAACAAGCCGCTCCTGGTCTGCCCTGCTGTGAAGCCCTGGCAAACCACGGCCACCTGCAATGGCCCCTTGAGGCAGGGATCCAAATCCCCAGAGGGGGATGCACAGCCCAGGGGACATGGCTGCAGGTTGACAAGGATTCACGGGAGATATGAGCACTGTGAAAGAAGTGACTTAAGGAGACTTGAGCAGGGTCAGATTTGAGCCAGGGCTCTGCAAACTGCGGATTTTCTGAATTTGCCCGGGATGTATCATCCACAGACAACAGCATCCAGAAAGCATCCCTGTGCTGTGACACAATCGCAGCTCGACAGAGCATCTTGTGAAACCAGACACAAGATGCTTAATTGCATCCTCCAAAATCTCCCGTCATGTCGCCAACCATTACCAGCCAGGGGACCGTGTGTGTCTGCCCTGCGAGGAGCGTGCAAGGACCAAACAGGTGCCAGGTGCGACGAGCATCTTTTTTCTCCTTCCTCCTGCCCACAGCACCACCTCAGCCCTGCTGCCATCCCAACCCCTCAGTGCCCATCTCGAGGCCGTCATGCTGCTCACTCTCACGCACGCGCACACCTTTGGCAGACATTTTCCCTCTTCTTCCCTACCTGACCCTGCCGCAGATACCGTGGGATGTATTTTCCTCTTGACCTATGACAAAATTATACCCCTGTCCCTGGACAGATATGAGCTCATATTGACAACTTTTTTTAGGCACCTCCAGCAGTTACCATGTTTTGTTGTGGGTTGTTTTTTTTTTAATGTCAAACCTGCATTTAACTCAGCCCCTCTGCTGCAGCCTCATGTCCAAGCTCCGTTGTGAGAGAAGAGGATAAACACCGAGACGTGCATACCTGTTTTTTAATAACACAGGTCACTTGCTGCCCCACCAGCCACCCAGCCCGAGGTCACCTCCAACAGCACTTGCTGCCAGCACCTCGACCTGACCCCTAGTCCCTGCCACCTCCAATAGCCCCACACCAAAAGACCAAAGTCTGTCCCCCACATCCCTTCCCGAGAATGTTCCACAGTACCAGCCAGACTGCCCAAGTTGTTCTGCTTTTGTTTTGCAAGGAAACAAAACCCCAGCCCACACATCGCAACCTTACAATAAGCCTTTAAAAAAACATTTAAAAAAAAATAAGATTATTGTTGTTACACCAGAGGTGAGAAATAGACTGAGGGTGGGGAAAGGGGCTGTTTGACTGGTGTTTTAAATGCCACTGTGCATTTCCCCAAGTCCTACTCTCTCGAGATGCTCGGTCCCTGGAGATGGCCGGGATGGGAACCAGCGGAGCAAGGAAGATGGGGGAAACCTGGCCAGGCTAAAGCTGGCACCCTCAGGCTACCAGGGAGGAGGTGGCTGAGCCAGAGACGAGAGGACTGGTAGGGATGGTAAAAAGATGCAGGAATATCGGCTTTTCTGTTTGACAAGTGGGAATGTGCAGTGTTCATGAGGGCAGAGAAAAGATACGAGCGCAGACAGCAGGAGGGATTAGAGACGCCAAAATCAAGATAGAAGTTGGCACTGCAGAGAGCAAGCTGATGGTGGAAGCGTGTAACAGCTGCTCTCCTCTGCCAACTGGGACAGCTCAGCATCAAAAACTCAAGAAATTAACATTGTTCCAAAAAACCACCATTCCCCCTTTTTTTTTTTCAGTCCAAGGTATTATGTAGTATTTATGTTCCTGATGCACTTCTCTCCTGATTATACCTACGGGTTTCGACAGCAGCATCCAAAGGAAAAGGATCAGTGAATGAACTGGAGTAGGAGAGACTAGGATGAGAGCAGGACTCGAGTCACACATCCTCGGCCCTTTCCCAAACACTCAATGCCAGCTCCTGCCTCACACTCAGATCCAAATCCAAATCCCTTTGCTGAGTGCTTATTGGTGACAGGCGCTACGACGCAGTGCTGCGTTTTCAATTGGAAGCAGACAGGGAAAACCTTGCCTCCTAAATATTCCCTTCCCCTGTACATGCCACATTAGCACCACGAATTACCCAGCGCCCAATCCCAAGGGATTCATTCCCACGCTGCTCCTCTAAAAAAGAGTGCTCAGCCTTGCAAACCAGCCAGGTTCGCACATCGCTGCCTGCTTTGCCGGTGGACGGACCACAGCCGGCAGCTGTGGGCGCTACGGGGAGAAGCAGCCTGGCTTTGGCTCCTCCACACACACAAGGGATCCCGGCAAAGGCGGTGTGCCTGGACCCTGAAGTCCAAGTCAATATTATTCGTGTTTCATAGCATTGATGGGACACAATGCAGTAGCTAATGCTAACAGTCCTCCTGCAGAGGAAGGAGTGGCAGAAACAACGTGTGACGAACTGACATCGACATCCCGTTCCCTGTCCCCATGCGCCGCTGAGGGAGGAGGCATGGGGACAGGGCAGCAAATCTGAGCTGGGAAGAAGGGTAGGGTGGGGGAAGGGGCTTTTCAGATTTGGCTTTGTTTCTCATTATCCTCTCTGATGTGACTGGTCACAAATTAAATTGTTTTTTTTCCAAGTCAAGTCTGTTTTGCCCATGACTGTAATTGGCGAGTGATCCCTCTCTGTCCTTGTCTCAACCCTTGAGCTTTTTGTGATATTTTCTCCTCTCCATCCCACTGAT